GATGGAGTAATCTAGGGGAAGCGTGAGTTATTTATCGGGCAGACTACTCCCGTAACCTCCACGCCTGTACGTGAGCCTCCCTAATAGCTCAATGTCAGAAGGCAATCTATTAGAAAAGGTCCCATTAACCGGATACAATTATTACCGTCGCTTCTGATGAGAATTACGCCGTCCTTGGTGCAACTCAAGCCCTGATTAACAGCATGAGAAATAGCAACAACAGCTGTAATACCCTTGAATTCAACTAGCCCAATGAACTAGGGACATTCCAAAAAAGAACTTGAATATTCAGTAAAAAGAGAAATATAGTACAGTGAAAGCGAAACAGAGTTTCAACCCAGTTAACGGCTGATTCGAAATACATGTAAGTCGGCTAAGAGCGCCATTTAAACCAAATATATCACGAACTTCCAAACGATGTCAATAGGCATAAGTCCATTTGCTGATATGACCATAGTACCATAATGAGCAAGCGAGAAAGTTTAAGGCAGTTTCCGTGTGGCCTGCCAAAATGACTGTGGGCTCGCAAAATGTATGCGATTGTCCCCATGCACTCCAAAGCATTAATGTGTCGGCCCCTCTCTATTATGCTTCACACCATTGTTCTCGCACACATTTTGGTTGAAAGAACCTGATGAATGTGATCCCGGCCTGTTCACTTTACGAGCCCAGCCTGCTCAAACTCCTCCAAAGCCGCTAAAACTTCTCAGATCCCTGGCAGATCGTTTCAAGAAGGCGTGGCATGCGGTAGCAGAACAACATACTGCACAAAATCCAAAAATAGTTTGAGTAATTTAAGGTATTATGGTGATTCATCGCCGGTGGATGCGATGCATCACTGGCCGAAAAAAATCCTCTTCAGTTTTTACAAAAATCACTCAAGGTCAACGTACCAAGAATTAGGCGCCTCATGTTTAACGTGTGATGATGAAACAACTATTTTACATCTACGCAAACTTGGGAAGTAGTGGTGAAAGCTAATAAAATGAGTCTCACCCACATACATTAACAGACGATCACAGGTCTCAACTTACTTCACCTCACCGCACTTCACAGCTTCCACCTACTCGTACACAAACAACCCGACCGACTGATTGACTTCTCACGAAAAATGGCTTTTAGGATCGTGTATTCCAATGTGCGCTACGGGAAAGAGCATAACTTTGGCCCTTCCAAGCAACCATCCACCCCCATTCCGAAGGCATGCACCACCTCTTCCTCACACGGGAATATGCCAGATAAGTTGCCTTAGAAACAGCCAGTACTGGCCAATGGATGGCAACAACGTCCTACTCTCACAAAGTAGTGCAAGACCTCGTGCTTCTTTACATTCCAAAACGTATTCACAAAAAAATTTGCACCCTAGTGAGGGTGGAAGTGGGGAGTGAGGAGAGACTGGCTCGTTCGCATTCCCTTCCCCATTCACAATCTCACCCTCACCTTCCATATTTCGCTGTTTCCTATTCTTCCATGTAGAAATTATCACTCCCTTTGACTATAAGCATTCCAAAATCACATTGTTACGCAGGCGAAATAAAGCCACTGGTGCTAGATTTCCATTTAATTTCTACAAACAATCCGCGGCTTCTCACTAGCAGAGAGAGGATTACAGATACCTGTGATTATATCAACAAATAAATTTTATTGGAGGAAGCGTTTTGCAGTCATTTAACCGCTTTAATAAACTGCAAGAACATATTTGTTTACCTCAAAACGGCACTAAACGGTGCACTTTGAAGCAAGGACTCCTTTGATGTCTAGCTTATTTCGATTTTCCCAAACTCATCACTCATTGATGCCTAGTCATATGACAAATAAAACCATTCAAGTACAAAAGAATCGAATTGAGGTTAATCTGAAAGCAATGAAACAGGAAAAAGCACCCTTCCTTTTGCCAATCAAATCCTACAGTAAAGCCATTCAAATGCAATCATTATTTAGCATCTCAGGAGTTGAAACAAATGATATTTGGACAGTGGACATTCGCTTACCTGCTGTTCAATCTTTGTATCAACGGTCTTCTCCGTTGAAGGTTGGAGATAATCCTCCGGGAATCGCCAAGGCGTTGTAACGTCACCGAATTCAAGAGCTAAGTGGAAAAAGACGAAGTAAGAGTACAGACATCTACCTCTTTATTTTCAAGCACCACAGAAGAAGTTCCGATGATGATAAATTTCGCAGCATTTTCAAGTAAAAATGTGGCCTTACATTGGCTGAGTTTTAGGCGAACAAGATCCAAGGTGGCCTTTGCGTCCTCTGCTGAGGAATGTCCCTTGCGTCCGCTTTGAATGGTTTGCCTAGTGTCATAAAACTAGTGAAATAAGATTTTGCAACAGGACAAAAGACGAAACTGCAGGCCTTTTCAGTCTCCCATGACTGGGCTAACGTTTACAATAAAGCTACCTTTCATACTCGTATGCTCCACTACGTCTTCTGAACTGACTCGGACACTAACTTGGTGGCAGAGGTAGGTGGACTCACTTTCCAGCAATAATTCGGATTTTGATGACCGGATTTAACGCTTAAACGTCACAGGAGGAAGGCGTCGACTGTAGGTGACTGACCATCAATTATGCGATACTAGATTAAAATAGACTGGAGGCGTCTGAATGGCTGCATACAATATTTACTACAACATCAAAGATTCGGGAGTTTCACGAAGCTAAAAAGGATTCAGATAGGTGAGTGCATAGCACCGATGTAGTAACAATTTTCAAGTGCCTCATGTTACTTTACAAAGTGGCCTTACTTATGGGGAAACATTTCCATAAATTTTATTTGGTAGATAAAAAGCACTTGCCAGAGGGTATGCTCAGTGTTCACCGCTACTAAGCAAGTTACAAGGATGACGCGACTGAATGATCTGCCGAAATCGAATCTACTTTTAGCCTGACGATTACTCTCAATAAATTGAAGCAATGGTAACCAAAGGAAGTGCCAATGGCGACGGCAAGAGCAAAGCTATGCCATAAACCGATGAGTGACTACGCGATTCGGCTATCACATTGAAGCAGGGTTTGATGCTACAATCTCTCAACCCTTCTCTAGTTCTAATAATAACAGGTAATTTGAAACTCATACACCTTGTACCGTAATCGGGAGAGACTAACCCAAGAAAGGCTCGCGTTAGATTCCTCAATCGTGGTTTGCCCGATCGCACCTGCGACATGTTGTAGATCACGCTCGTATCGATGAGATAGGGATGAAAGATCTGGACGAAAACAAGTTCAAAAGTGGCATTTTACGATGTGAATCTGAAATACCTTTAGGGCCTTTAGGTCATTTGTGATTGAGTGACCCACAAGAATTGCATCACCGGGAATGAGTTGACCTAGTTCCTTTTGAACATCTTCCACTCTGGTATCAATGCTCGCTAGCATTTCACGAGTAATGCCGCTGAACCTATAACTCGCCGGTATAACAAATCAGATGGATGAAAACGGTGTAAAAAAGAAAGATGTCTATGAAAACTACCGAGTCAAATAATCCTCCACCGGATTGTGTGGTTTCACGAGTTTGTCCAGCAGGACGCAACCAATCTCGTCAACTAGTGTGACTCGAGCCAACTCATTGCCAATAGTAGTCTGAACCATTTCGCAATCCAGTGCAAATATCGGGCTCTGCGCAGTCACCGGCTCGAATTTCTCCTTCAGAGTGACGAACTTTGACCAAGGACTTCGCCAACTCGAACCTGCTTCTTCCTTGGGTAGCGGTATCTGCTCTTCAATCATCTGTTCCAAACTCAAAAGCAATGAAGTTCGGTCAAAAACATCCTCACTTAGGGGCTCAGGAAATGGGAATGGAGCTTCAGGCTCCGGTTGTTTTGACTCCAGCCTCGCCACCTTATAAGGTTTGTTTTGAATTAGGTTGGAGAGCGAAACCATTGACGGATCTATCGGGCGCTTCGGGCCAACAGGAGTAGTGACAGCTTTACGGGAGTCTAACAAAGAAGATGAGAAGTGCATATTTGCGTAAATTAGGTTATATCATACACAGGGAAAAAGTGTGAACCTTACGGGCCATTTCTCGAGCGTGAACACTAAGATAAGACGAGGGAACCGTTAGAAGTTCGTATTCCCAAGAGGACTCATAATTTATGGGAGAAAGGAAACGAACAGTCTGGATGAAGTGAATTACATTGTGAGGACCATACTTTATTAAACATCTCTGAAAAAAGAGACGAATCAGAAATACTCCCAGGAAACCCATCATACTCGATTAGGACGACCGACTTAACCAGAAGAGGACGTTTCAATATAGCCCACCTAGCATTTACTAGGTCAGAAACAATTGCACAAAACTTACTTAGGCCACTGTTTATAGTGTTGTGGCAGAAAACATAAGCCCAGCAACTTCTGAAGCTCAATCGCGTTAAGAGGCCTGTTCTCTTTAAATTTGGGAGTCAAAAATAGTAATGGACGCTAGAAAAAAATCAGTGCCAAAAACGCGTCAGAACTACCTTGTCTTTACTTTTCCGTTCTTGAAAGCCATCCACCGAGACCTGGAATGACTCCATGTTCCAATTGGTGGACTCGATAAGTACATAAAGTCCACACCGTGATACTAACTGTTCAAACAAGTTTTATTCAGTACAACTATATGTTGTACGTAACCAATTTCGTCTTTGCAAAAGAATCTAGATTTTCCCTAGGCCGTCTAGTTGACAAAGGGAGCCAAAATCCTATTGTTCATAAATGGTGCCTGAATTTAATTCATTCACTTTATAAACAAAGCCATGGATACATAGTAAGCCTTTATACCGTTAGCCATATATGACCAATTCCTCTCCACCATTGGAGAGGATAGTATTAGCTTTTGAGACTATAGTTCACTAGGTTTGCACCTAATTTACAGGGTTGTTGTTACAAATAGATGTTTATGACTTCGTTTAATTTCAAACCTTTTTCCGCATCTGTTTTTATCTAAATTAAGATTTTCAAGGGTAAAGGTAACTTTTTTGATTGGTGAAATTTGAAACATAAATTTATTTACGGAACCTAAAAGGGTTGTAGTCTATAATCTGAATGGTTTTATTGCATTATTGATGCTAGTTCAAATATTCACATCGAAATGTAATCCACTTCCAGGATAATCAATTCAACTTCAAATTTACTCAGGCTTCCTCATATGCCTTTTCAGTTAACGAATTCCGTTACTGGCGTATAAAATCTATGTAAATTAGCCAGTTTTTTCGTTTTAATTGCGTAAATGTGTTTTTTGACTTTTCTTTATAGCTTTTTTTGGCAGTAAGAGCAATTCTACTTCACAATTAGATTATGCTTTTAATGTTTCGTTCAAGGAGATTTTGTATCACGAGCAGTATATTATAATTGTTTTCGATGCTATTTTTAAGTCATCTAAATCATCACACTTCCTAATTTGCAGATATTTCAATCTGCTCTATTGTTTTTGGGTGGTCTTTTGTGATTGGTTTTTCTATAAAAACTTGACGTCTAAGCGATGATATCGAGAACGACTTCATACGTCCTCAATTGTTGTCCATATTAGTGTCGGCTTTATTTGTTTTCTAAAAGCGTTTATTGAGACACTGAAATAACCGACATTGTCTCAGTTGATGCTCAGATTTTCGTGGGTGAATCAATCCTCCTCTATTCACTTCGACGTGTTGTGTTTTGGTGCGTAAACTTTTCAATTGTATTTAATGACGCATAAGAGTGGACCAAAGTCACTCTAATTTTGCCAAAAAAAAGAAAGAGATGTTTGTGTGACTGTTTTTTTTCCTACGTTCTAGCTCATTTGTGCATGTAACTGCCTATTTAATGGTAGCCGATTGTGGTGCGCCTGTCGCTGCTTCGCCGTTAGTTTTTACAATTTCTTAAGTGAAAGTTTCGCTACTTTTTATCCACACTCGAAGGCGTCTTATCCGTTTGTATATACATATTCCGCACTATTGTCTTCCTCAAATGTTTTATGGTAGGTAATCTTTATCATTTCGTAACGAGTAAAATGTCAACTGTACAACAATTTGAGTATTGCTGAATCTTCCAAGGGGCTAAAGTTCTCAGGGTTGTGATGTGTTATTTGTTCCATTTATTCTCGGTTTCGGTAGCGGGCTACTTAGTGACTCCGCTGAGTGGCCTAACCTTCAGGCCGTGCTAGTAGCCCCGACCCCTTCCATGTGTCGTCGATACATATTCTGCCTGGGTCTTGTCTTCTTTCGGCTTCTGGGAAGTCCTGAAGGCTCTATAGTGGTAAATGTTGGGTCTTCTGCTGCCGCATTCAAATTCATTTTAATTTTTTTAGTTGGAAATGCAGGAAGTATTTGGCTACAAGAGAGTACCTCCTTATCAGCTTGTTGAAGGCTGTACCTTTTTGATAGGTGTCCCATGTTAGCACTCTCTGCTTGAAATGTATGATTAATGACTCCTCGAAGTAGCGAAATTTTCTTACCGGAGCATGGCACTTTTCACAGTAAATTGGTATGGATTTATGCTTACGTGTGTGATCACCTCATACATAGCCTTATATTTCATTTTGGTAGATTCCATCAGACTCTTCTTGGGTATAGCAGACACACTTGTTACCAAGGCGAATCGCTAGCCCCATTTATGTGCGGGAGGTGAAAAGAGAGTCTCGTTGATGTTGAAAACCCGACAATTTGGACTCACATTGAATGGAGTACATCCCATTGTCTAGACCTCAACAAATTCTATCCGTTGGGTTGGACGAATTACCCGCCTTATTCTGTGCTTGCTTTATATTTTTGCTTCTAAAAACAGAATTGACCCCTCATGTAGCTCCCCAAAACTTCCCCGAAGGTGAAAGAGGAAATGTTTTGAGGGCAGAAGAGGCATTGTCTACGTACAGAGGGGCTTAGGGGGTTCCTGGTTTGGTTCGGAGGACAGGTCACCCGAATCAGGTATAATAGCGGAGCCCCAAAGAAGTTCTTTATCAAAACCGAGAGCTAAACAAACAAGTTTTTACACTTATGTAGGCGAAAGACTTATCAGTCACTAAATTTAATGTAAAATGGACAAATATGATGTTGTTACAAGGTCTTGAGAAAAAAAATCCAGTTTCGTTAATCAACGCTCTTTATCTGCCGTAAACATTGGAAAAAACTGATTTTGTGGTGAGGACCAGTTATTACTCCATGGCTATTTGTGGTCTGTGGTTTTCTTCACCCAAATAATCTATTTTCTTGATACTAGCATGCTTCAGCGTTGAAAACTACTTGAAGGTGACAGTCGGACAGATGATTTCAAGCAGTGAAACAATATATTTATTCTAGCCCGTCGACAACATGAGGTATGGGTACAAGCCGCACAGTGGTAACAAAAGTTGACAGAATGAAACAATAATCATTCCATTAACTGTGCAAATACGCCTCCAACCCGAGTATGTATCCCACTTTGACCTAAGGTAACAAAGGGCATATCCATCCGCCTAATCAAATCAACTAAAACTCCCTGCATAGTATAATCCTTCCGTTTACCTAGGTACTTGGCTACTCATATCCCAGTGGGTGATTAATAAGTAGAATTTGAGGTATGGACGAAAAAGAAAGTCAAAAAAGCCAGCTTTATTTTTTCTTTACTTTTGGCAAGATTTCCGGTTTCCTGTCCACACAAGCTAAGGCAGGGTAAGGCAATGCAACCCCAACGCTGAGCAAAGCAGAGCATAATTTGCGGACATGCAGAGAGACAGTGGACATATTGTTTCTCAGGTTTCTAGGCTAAAACGTCAAACCCACACGGTTAATGTCTGCCTCAACCACCACCTCACATTAATATTCCTCTCCCTCCTCCCCCGCCCCCACTTTGCGCCACCTACCTACTCAGTCGCGGACCGGACGTGAAATTCAATGTAGGGCGCGCACATACACACACGCGCATACAAACACAAGATGACTGTTTTGGGGTGTGCATATTATTTCCGGAAGTACAAAATTTATTAGAAACGGCCTGAGCAGCCCTTTTTTTTGTTAATCAAAACCAATTCTTTTAGCACTATGGTCGCATTATAGACAGTAAGTGATGCCTATCTGGCCGACCGATCGCATGTGGGGCTAGGATAACTTTCTGCGATAGGTGACAGTTAAATATTTATTATCCATTCAAAAACTCGCCTATTATCCCTCTTTTGCATTCTATTCACTTGAGCCCTCATTTTTGGGTAGGTTGACCGAACCAGAGTTACACCGAATCATGGATCTTGATGTAGAAACAACATAAAATAGGTATAAAGTGGTGCTCTTAGCTTCAAGATGATTGCGCTGTTGTTCATTTTTGAGCGGCATAACCTTAAAAGAAACATTTCATTTGTGAACTGTGACGATTGACTTTTTTCTGATATAGTGTAGCACTCCGAGACTTCCCTAAAGTCGAAAGAAGCCATAACATTAGGGCAGAATATGTATTTTCGACGTATAGAAGGGCTGGAAGGGTCCTGGTATTGTCTGGAGGCCAGGCCACCCGCCAACGGCACAGTGGTGGAGCACCTAATCGGTCAGGTTACCAAAATCGAGAGTTAAACAAATATGTAGTGTATTACTTAGCCGCCTCTCCTCCTTTGAGCATTGTCCACTCCGTTCCCCTTAGACAATATCCCGCGTCAGCCAGCACATCACAGTCGGTGCTACATTAATAACACCCATGAAAAAAGCCCTTTCAGCCCTCAAATTTCCATGCCAATCCGATGACGCTCGACTGATCCCTCTTGACAATTCTGCTGGATCTTGATTTTTATCCTGTATGGGAACTGTATTGGAGGATGGGGGAATGTGTTGTCCATTACACTTGTCCATCGATAATCGTAGGAACACTGGACTGAAAACAGAACCTCAGAACAAAGGACGGGATTTAACATAGTTCTGCGTGGGTGGTTTTGCGCCTGTTTTTCCTTGCCACCTCGTTCGCATTTCAGTGCTGCCCAGACATATCTATCTGGATTAGATCCAGATGGTAGTGGCTGGAGGAGGTATCGCGTGTTGGCATAATTAACAACTTCAAAAGGGACCGTAGACAGCTCCGTTACGAGCTTTTCCAGCTGGCTTACAGCTAGTGTCAAATCAGTTGTTAATAACTTTCCTCCACATCACGGGACTGGGGTAGTTGCCGAAGGTAGATGTAATTTTTTGGCCCTTCTGTTAGAAGTCTCCACATATCCTCTCAGTCGCAGCATATGACCTTTTTCCTTGAAGCTAAGACTTATCGCCCAGCAATAGAAAACACAATAGTTGCCCTTCAAGACCGGTTTTGCTTTCAGCTGTCAGCAATGTAGCGCCCCGCGACTTCTCTGAAGAAAAAAGAGGACATAATACAGAAGCTGAATATGTATTGTTGACCTGTAGAAGGGTTTAGGGACCAATGGCATGGCTCGAAGGCCGGGCCACCCGGCAGTGGGACAATGACGGAGCTACTAAGTGATGGGTTACCACAATCGAGAGCTAAACAAAATAGCAGTGTATTACATAGCTTCTAGACCTTTCTGTAGGCCTCCAACAAGGCTACTTCTAGACTCTCATGCCTTTTAAGGTCAGTAGACGTGGGGAGA